TCTTATCATTTTGGAGGGAAAGAGTTATTGACATTTTTGGGAATCTAATGAAGTTTATGGATTCTTCTTCAAGAGAAAAGAAAATGTGGGTTGCTTTTCACCCACAATTTTCAGGAGTTCATGAGTCTTCTAAAGCTCAACTGTGGACTCTAAGTTAAAGATGTCTGATCTAACTACTCTCTAATACTAGCTGTCTGACAATAATAGGTTTGTTTTCTACATTACAGTCAATAGAAAAACAGTTAATGTGGGATTTAAGAGCTTGAGCTCTGGAACCAAGGAGACCTGGATACAAATCTGAGTTCTGCCATTTAATAGCTATGTGGTTTTGGTCAAATCGGTTGACCTACTGAGCTTCAGTTTCCTAATCTGTAAAATGGGAATAATAATAGTACTGACTTAATAGGGTTGTGGTGAAGATTAAATAAAATAACACCTATACAATGTATACATAACACAATGCCTAGCATATGTTAAGTGCTGAATATGCTAATTTTTTAATTGTAATCAGGAAATGGAACTATTTTTCCTTCCTATATATTTGCAATAATATGAGGGTAGTTACAGTTGTTACCTGTAGAGTTACCTCCTTTGCCAGGATCTAATTAGCTGGCTGAGTGGTGAAAGCTCTGAGTACTTTGATCTCAATAACTACGTTCATTCGTTAGTTCCATGGTCAAGAGTTTGATACCCACGTCAAACTCCCCCCCGCATCTAATGATTAAGAGTTAATAGCTTCATTTTTAGCAGGAATCTAGTGTTCTGTGATTCTTGAGTGGCAAACTAGAACAGTTTGCAGTTTGAAAGATACTGAAATATATCTGCAGACAGACTATATGTACTTTAGTCACCATTTCATCCAAGGCACCAGAGCAAAGGACTTGTCATATAGAAGACATTCAACAAGGATTTGTTGACGGAGTGACTGAATTCTGTTGGGATAGTAGAAAGTCTTCAGAGAAAAAAATCATTTTTTTCTGAGTGTCTTTAAGTTAGATTATATTTTCAAGACTCTCCTCCTTAACTTGTTATTAGAGTGCCCACTCTAGAACTAGTTGCTAGGATTGGAAACTTGTCTGCCTTATAACTAGCTGTGTAAACCATGGGCAAGTCATCTCGCCTCTCAATGACTTGGCTTCCTTATTTATAAAATGCGCATAATAATAGGGCTACAGTGTGGAGGAATGAGTTAATATAAGAGAAGTGTTTAGAACAGTGCCCCCAATATATTCGAGAAAAGTTAACATTGTTACTATTTGTCATTGCTATTACTGTTGCTATATTAGCCTCAAGATCCCCTCACTATGGTGAATCCCATTTATTTATTGTTACCATCCCCTAAACTAAAGTTCACTGAAAACCTCTCTGAATTTAGAAACACAAATAGCAAACTTTGTCTCACATGTAATGTAACTCTAAATTTTCTAAACTCTATTCTGCAGAGCCGACAAAATATTAGGAAATTTTGTTCTTCCATTTTCATTTTCGGATGATCAAGTAAAGATGGATCTATTTTGACTGAATGTGAAAGCCATAATCATCAATATGGTTGTGGCAATTTCTGTCTGCTCGTTCTGTACTCATCTTTTTCCAGTTCCAAATATCATTTGCATGGACCTGATGATGTTGAGTATGTATATTGCAGCAGAGTGATAGCTTCCTTTTCATATTGAAGCTGAAGCTTCAAAGGGAAGATTAAAGGAGTGTTTGTTATCTATCTGCACAGGCCTGATATGAAATTCTCAGAGGCCTTTAGGATAAACACAACTCTGTGTGTGTGCCTGTATGCCTTTTCTTCTATGTAATTCTGTTGTGGTGTTTGTATTTTGGTTTAAAATGTCTAGTTTCAGACTTGTTGGAGTCTCTGGCTAAAGGATAATTGTTTTCAGAGTGAAGGATAAGAATTAGAAGATGTGGGCAGGATTTGACTAAATGCCTCCTAAGGAGTGTAGAATTCTCTAGTGTGGGGTGATCTTTCCAGAGAATGTGATGAAGGTCATCCATAGGATATGTTTAATGAGACAAGATCAAGACTTTAAATGTGTTGTGCCCAGCAGAGAAGAGTCCATGGTGCCCTCCAGTGAGGGATGAGATTGCTCACTTTTTGGCCTTGCCTTTTAGAAGTATCCTCTGGGTGTGTGTGTGCGTGCGTGCATGTGTGTGAGTGTAAACAAACTTTCTTTAGGGTTGTTGCACAATTAAGACTTAGAGTAAGACAAAGGGGAAAAAGTAGGGTAGCAGGATTGTTCTATACCTTGTGAAAGTGAAAGCAACTAAAATTCCACTTCATGCCATTCCATGTCAAGTTCTACATATGATTTTTACTGACAGAAATATTTAATTACAACATCATCAAGATTAAGGCGGATTCAGGGGCGCCTGGGTGGCTCAGTCAGTTAAGCGACTGCCTTCAGCTCAGGTCATGATCCTGGAGTCCCGGGATCGAGTCCCGCATCGGGGTCTCTGCTCAGCAGGGAGTCTGCTTCTCCCTCTGACCCTCCCCCCTCTCATGTGCTCTCTCTCTCTCTCATTCTCGCTCTCTCAAATGAATAAATAAATAAAATCTTAAAAAAAAAGATTAAGGCAGATTCTGCTATTTAACATCAACTCGATAGACCTGCTACTTTATTTAATAGTGTTTAATACCGTTTTGTTTAATACTGTTAAGTTGAATTCTTTCTCTGTAATCGGCCTTCTTATGATACAGCTACCATTGGCAGAAACAGTACTCTTAGTGTATGTGAACTTATAAGACCTTCTTAACTAAAAAGAGAAAGCAGGAAACCAGCATCACTTTACAGTAGGTAGAGAAGGGGACTGAAAATGTGCGTGTGCATTGGGGTGGGGATGGTGGAGAAGAGAGGAGAAAAAAAGGTTGAGGTCATCAGTAACATGTTTTGCCTATTTAACAATTAGCTAAGAGTTGGCCTTTTAACTGCCCAAGCATGGCTCCATTTTTTTTTTCTGGGTCAATAAGTGAGAACGACATTAGTTAGCGAAGTTCCTGCTATTGTCATCATATACATTTCGGAAGGAGAAGTACACCCCCCCCCCACACCCCACACACACACTTGCACAGGCTCACATTCTAATTTCTATTTATATTGAATTGGAGGTTGAATAATGATTGGAATCAAGGGCTAGAGCAGTGCCTCCAGAGAAGATGGGAAACAGCAAAAACATGGAAAATTCCTCGCCCCTTTGATGATTTACTTGATTAACTGCGTTTTATAGAAATGAGTTTGATGGAAAAGCTCTTCATAGTGGCCAGGTACAGTGGAAGCTGCAGCATCTGCTGGGGGGGGCGGGGATTGACCCGTCGTACTAATATATACAACTTGTTTTAAGTTACAGCCACTCTCCATCTACATATGCCTTCCTAGTGACATGGACATCCTTCTTCCCACCTGCTGCAGCTTTACCTTTCCCACCCCTTCCTCCTGTTATTCCCTCTCCCCCTTTCCACTGCAGATGTCGGAGCTGTCCTGAACTTTCCCTCCCTGTCATCCAAGATCTCACATTTCCCTTCACCTGATTGCCAGCCCAGAACTCTTCTGGGAAAAGAAAGGAATAAGAAGAGTCAACCAGGAGGCTTCTCCATCTTCTCTTCCTTATCTCTGATAATTTCCCACAAATGCATCTCTGAATTATGGCAACATATTCCCACTTATCTCCTACTTCTCCATTTCCTGAACTTTAGTCTTATAAAGAAATAACCTCGATACTCACTGGGATGATGTTTGTCTCTAACGTAACCTTACCTTATTTCAGTCATGTGTGTGCCAGAAGACACACCTCATTATTACCTATGTATTGCCTTTTCCTTAATCTTTTATTTTGGGTTATGGATTCTTTTAAGAACTAAACTCTTTCCCAAGGGAAAAAAAAGTGTTCAAATGAATGTATACACTCCTGAGAGGTCAAGATGAGGGTAGAAAAATATTCATTCTGTTTAGTGGTATAGAATTATGTCCATTGCAGGAATTCACATGTGGTTACTATAAGCAAGATTGGAGTGTGTTGAGGAGTGAGTGGGAGGTGGAAGAAAACAGAAACTACAGACAACACTTTTTGAAAATTTCACTGTGATGTGAAGGGAAAGAGGACAGCAGATGGAGGGGTATGAAGCAGGTGAGGGAGGCTTTGCTTTATTTTTAAGGGAGCATAAATACTGATGGAAAGGGCCCAGTTGAGAGGAAGAGGTTGAATATATACAAGAGAAAATCGATATAGAATAGTGTAAGGTTCCTGTGAAGGCAGGAGGAAATGGAATCCAAAGTACAATAGACTTTTGTGGGTAGCCACCCTGTAGAACATTGCTTCTATGGGGGAAGTGTAATTTAGATTCCAAATAAGTGACTTACAAATGATCCTTTCTGCTGTTGCCATTTCATTAGTTTGAAGACTTGAAGGCTGTTGGTTTTGCCAATAATACCCCAAAATAAAAGAGGAGATGGAATGATACAGTGGACTGCAAAAGCCCCAGTCTTGGCACAGACACTGAAATGCTAAGTGACCTTGCGTCCTTTGTTGATGCTTCAGCTGTAAAGTTAAGAATTTAGACCTAGAAGTGTTTGAGGATGTGTTGGGGGGGTGATGTTTGGGTTGTTATAACAGCTGGGGGTGCCACTGGGATTAGGTGCTGAGGGCCAGTGATACCGGTTGCCCTGTAATACACGGGACAGGTTGTCACAACAAAGAGTTGTGGCCCTCCAAGCCTGTAGAGCTCCTGAGGAGAAACTCGGACTGTGGCTAAGTAACCTCTTAGGACCTTTCCAGCAACATGGTCAAAACTGTCTAAGGAGTTACAGTGAGTTAAATGCCACTGAGAATCTTCCAAATCTCAGGGACAACCCTTTCATTTTTCTCAAAGTGGGTGGTGGCTTGGCTGGTTATTGACTATTTAGCAAGCTTTTTGGACTAGGTGCCGTCTCTACCATATGCCAACCAAGATTGAAATACAAGTTTGACTTACCTCCATTCTTTTCCTTGTATTTCAGGTACTATTGGGATATTCAGCCCCAAGGTGAGTGCTTTTGGCCATTTGTGGTTTTACACTAAAGATATGTGGATGGCATTGTTTACCTCTGCGTCTTCTAAATAAGCTTCTACACAGAGTGGCATTAGCCATTTCTAAGGAAAGTTAGTGGAGTGTTTAATTAACCTTCACCCTGCTGGGCTCCCCTGCTCTGCTTTTTAGCAACGAGAGGCTCTGATGCATCTGCCTTCTGAGTGGATTGGTGCTGGATTATTTTACAGAACCAAAGCTGTAAGATGCTTTTACTCCTTGAGCTTTGTCACATGCCAACAGGATCCGCTAACATTCAAATAAAATGGTGGCCGAGTCCATAATAAAACCTTGGGAGGGCTCCAACTCAGCTGATCCTTCATTTGCTCCAGAAATAAATTCCAGTAGGTTACCTCCTTGGTCACAGTGCTCTTCCACACAGCCTGCCTGTCTGGCAGCAGAGAAATGTCAGAAACGGAGTAGTGTTGAAATTCCCACTAGAACAGTGTTATCACATTTTAATATGAGCCCCATTGCAGCCTCTGTGCTTCTAATTGCTTTCAAACCATTGTTTTCCTGCTTTTGCTTGATGAACCCAGCATCTGGCATGATTCTAAAAACTACAACAGACAGCTGTGTGCAAAATTTAAAAAAAAAAGGGACAGGATTAGACCATATTCTTAAAAGGTTCAAAATTGGAATTTCTTTTTTTTTTTCCAAATTCAGTTTGAAGGGATGTCTTTCTTTTTAGTACCCTGGTTGAGAATGTCAGAAACATAATTCTGAATACTAACTCTTAACCTATTTTAAGTGGGGGATTTTTATTTTCTCAGAGAATCAGGGAGAGTTTTAGATCAAGCTTACAAATAGCTTTATGAACTATTTTGCTCTAAAACTTTTCTTTTAAGATTTTATTTATTTGTTTGAGAGAGAGAGAATGAGAGAGAGAGAGCACATGAGAGGGGGGAGGGTCAGAGGGAGAAGCAGACTCCCCGCCGAGCAGGGAGCCCGATGCGGGACTCGACCCCGGGACTCCGGGATCATGACCTGAGCCGAAGGCGGTCGCCCAACCGACTGAGCCACCCACGCGCCCCACTCTAAAACTTTTTAAAATCAATTGTAAACTTTCCAGGTTTTCCATTCTCTTAATATTGTCAATGTATCCATTCTCAATGAGCATAATACCTTAGAGAAATTCAAATTGTGAGGAATGATACTAGTTTTATGAAAATTTAAATTTTCCTAGATCATACTTTCAGTGTATTTCAAGTCTATTTAAGGTTTTCTTTAAAATCAAACTTTAAGAAATAAAAAATCTTACATATTTAAAGCTTTTTGACTCTTGTAAGTTGGCCATAGTATTTATAATATTTGAAATAATGTGATGTGGTGTTACCATATATCTCACTATCCTAAAGCACTTACGGCTAAAAACACAGACTGAGAATAGAGAATTATATGTAACAGTGTAGCAGTTTGCTTTGCAAAGTGCGAAATATGCTATTCAGGCAATGGCCCTGCATCGTTCAGGGTTTAACAGTTGTCAGCCAAAATCCACAGGGGGCAGAACATGAATGTGAACTGGCAGAAACGAATGGAACTGTGAGGGTAGAATTAATTACCTAAAGGAGAAATAAAGAATTAGTGTCAAAGCTATGGTATAGTAATGTGTTGAGAAGAGAATTCTGGAGTTGAACACAAGAGACTATACGGGGCTACAAAGACAAAGGGCAAATCTTACCAGATTCTTGTAATAGTGTCATTGCAGTCATCTTCTGGTTGACGGCAACTTCCACACAGCCTTTCTCTCTTAGGTAGAGCAGCCAAGGGGACAGTTGAAGAGTTTACCTAGAACAGAAGACTGTATTTACTTCTCAATGATGATTGGATATATAGAGCAAATTCTTGGCTCATTTAGAAGTAAATGTAGGGAAAGATCAAGTTGGAAAGCCCATACTTGTGTCTTGGCTCCAGCCTTGCTCCTACCCCTAAGTCATTTTTTTGGGGGGAGGGGGTGATTTTTTACCTTTTGCTCTTTTGATTGGATCTTAGCTGATTGCTAAGTGCTTCAGAAACTTGCAGGGTGTGTGGGGCTGGTAACAGGTCTCTGTAAGGTACTACAGGACAGTTTACGAATATGAAAAGTATAGGAATATGTAAATAAGAGAACAGCTGACAGAAGACTTTAAAAAGCCCTAGAACACTAGGTAGTATTGGGAAGGGAGTGAGAGAAGACAGAAATGATGGCCTCAGATTTCCTTATCATTTTTATCTATGGCAGGATCCTCGTGCAGGAAGATGATGGGATGAATTTTATTGACTCCAGGCATTTGCCTAAATACATACTTTGTTCTTCAGGATATGTGGACTAAAATAGTCTGGTGCCTAGAAGGAAAATAGTTCTTTTTTTTTTTTAGATTTTATTTATTTATTTGAGAGAAGTTGAGGGAGAAAGAGAGAGCACGAGCAGGGGTTGAGGGGGGCAGAGGGAGAGGGAGATGCAGATGCCCTGCTGAGCAGGGAGCCCACCACAGGGGCTCCATCCCAGGGCCCCAGAATCATGACCTGAGCCAAAGGCAGATGCTTAACCGATTGAACCACCCAGGTGCCCCAGGAAAATAGTTCTTCATTATAAAAGATCCCTTATTTATAAATCTCTTTAGTAGTCTACAGTTAAACATCTGGTTATGGAAAAGTCTGTGATGAGTTGGTACAATGTGCTTTAAAGTTTACCCTTTAAAGAACGATGCTTGGGAGAATGGACTACCTAATAGAGAAGGTTGCAAATAAAATTTTTCTTATCCCTCATTCCATTCAATCCCAGGTTTAATATGGTGGAGTAGTGACCATTGAACAGTGTCAGGGAGAGTCTTGTCTCTGTTCTGGAGAAGAAACTTGGCATGGTAGAAAGAGCATGGACATTGAGGCTTGACAGACCTAGTTCAAATCCTACCTATACCATTTAGCTAAAGGTCATGTGACCTTAGCAGTTTGCCTAATTGCTCTGAAATTCAGCTTCCCTATCTATAAAATGGGGGATCTGCAGACACTGTGCTAAGTCCTTCATATGCACTATCTTATGTAATTCTCAGAACAGCCCTACGAAATAGGTACTAATAAACCCATTTGACAGACATGGGCACTGAGGCCCAGAGAGGTTGGGAATCCTTCATGATCATGCCCCTCAAGGATTCTAACTTGGTCAGGCTGACTCCATAGCATTTGCTTTTTAAAAAGCAATAGCTTTTTTGAGATATAATTCATATAATATAAAATTCACCCTTTTAAAGTATACAAGTCAGTGGTTTTTAGTATAGTCACTGAGTTGTGCACTCATCACCACTCTAGTTTCAGAGCATTTTCGTCACCCCAATGAGAAACTCCATGTTCATTAATAGCTCCAAAGCCCATGCTCTCCATCGCTGTATTTTACTGCCTCGTTGCAGTGCTGGTATGAGGACTAGTGGTAACATGTGTAAGTTCTAGCATGCAACCTGGACAGTAAGAAAATATAGATCGGATTTACAACAGTGTTAATGGCAATTCTTTCCCTCACATTTCCACCCAAATTTTCTTATCAGTCCATTGTCACCTTCCTGAATGATGTTCATTAATAAAGAATGAAACACGGGCAAAATAAAACATAATCCAAATAATTTATTACTTTAATGTGGAAGGAACATAAATGAAAGAGCTCTTTTAATGAGCTCAAATATGATTGGAGAATGTGGGAAAGGCTTTTTATTTTTATTTTTTAATAAGACATAGATTCCTTTGACAATTCAGGTCCTGCTTGCTTTAAGAACTTTTTTTCTACTTAATGTTTCACTTAAAGTTACTTTTAACTTTTAGATGTAGTGACAGTATGACTTTATGGCATTGAGCAAACTGATTTACTTCATTATATTTAGTTTCCCTTTTTATAAAATGAGTTAATCATCAACAGCTAGAGTTTAATCAAATTTGAATGACAAGGTATAATGTTTATAATTAAAAATTTATTGCTAGAAAAACATCATCATGAATATTAGAAAAATTGCCCACCATGGACCCAGACTCTAAAGCAAATTACACAATATTTAAGTAAAAATTTTAAGAAAGACCTATGTATATAAATACATATAACAAAATTCTTATATGTATATAAATACATATAACAAAATTCTCATATGTATATAAATACATATATATGTGTATAAATACATATAACAAAATTGCCCAATGGTCACTCACATTACATTTGTGATGGTGGTAAATATGAACCACTGAAATTTCTTACCAGCTTGAAGATTCTTTGAGTGTTTTCATGAATGATGTAGAGAGTTTCTGAGAAAATGATTCAGTATATTTTAATATGAAAAATTTCCACTGTGTGAGTCTTAAAAATCTTATGAAATGGCAAGTCTATATCCCTTGTCAAAGTAAATTGATGCCTAAAAATACAGCTTGGCAAAAGCAAATAATGCAAAGTGAGTAAAGAAATGTTATTATAAAGCCTTATTAACTATAGATTAAAAGAGATTTAAAAGGCATATCAACTAATGTGTGGACCTCATTTTCATCTTGAGTTAGATAAACTCTAAAAAGTTGTAGCTATGAGAGAATTTGAAATGTGAACACTGAATATTTTATAAGAATCTACTGTTGATTACATCAAACTAAAAACCTTTTGCACAGCAAAGGAAATCATCAACAAAAAGAAAAGTCAACCTCCTGAATAGAAGATATTTGCAAACCATGCATCTGATAAGGGGTTAATTCCCAAGTATATAAAGATACAACTTAATATCCAAAATAAAAAAGAAACCAACCTGATTAAAAAGTGGGCAGAGGACTTAATAGACATTTTTCCAAAGAAGACACACAGAGGACCAACAGGCATGTGAAAAAATGATCAGCTTCACTAGTCATCAAGGAAATGCAAATCAAAGCCACAATGAGATATCACCTCACACCTGTCAGATTGGCTAGTATCAAAAAGACAAGAAAATGGGGCACCTGGGTGGCTCAGTCGTTAA